GTGCCATTTGCTCAACCCTCATGACCACGTAGATTTCATAATGAAAAGAACTTTTTTTTTGCAAAACTTTTTTTTTATTCGCACGCGCGCATCAGTTTTGGGGCTCCCGGAGGATGTCATCCATATAATCAAATCAACATGGCCTAAGTTACAAGAAAAGTGTACTATCAGAAGAGTTGATTAGCACATAAAACCAAAGTTTTTATAAAGCCCTTTGTAACAGAAGATGTATCAACAGTTTTGGTTAACTCTAGTGGATGTGCTTTCTTCATGATCAAGGTCATACATGTAGAGAAAAGTGTTGTCAACTCTTCTGATGTTCACAGGAAGTAAATGCGACCTGTGTTCTGACAACCCTACATGTTCAGCTACTCAACCTATGTCCGGACAACCCAAATGTTGGAACATAGTAGAGGAGTCAGAATATTTAGGGCTGTCCAGCATGTCGGGAGAATGTACTGTGCCTGTGCGAAACCCATAATGTATTGTGCATCTATTAGTTTTCAAATGTTGTGTCTGAAAAGATATCATCTGCAATGGGCAAGATTCTGATGGAACGTTGACCAAACATTCAACAAAAACCATGTGAAAAATCTGCCAGTGCAGTGTACAAAAATAATTTTTTGAACCACGGCAAAAATTAGGTTGTCCATCAGAATTTTAGGTTGCCCCACCTGTAAGTTACTCACTTTCCTCAAATTAAGTAATGTTACATACATACACACTTTGTAACCCTTTGACAATATTTCTAACAGCCTTTAGTTAACTGATACTAGTAATAGCCATTAATACCTAAAATTAAAAAGCATCTGCCGGATACAGTGGTGCAAGCCAAGTGGGCATGATTTTTTTTGGGGGGGGAGGGCATTCTTAAAATTCAGGAAGCACACTGGGCTACCTAGGTTCAAAAATAGGTTGCCCCAAGTAAAATTTGGTTGCCCGGGGCAACTGGGCAACCAGGTACTAGTATTTTGCATGCTGCAGTGGGTTTCTCACAGGCGCAGTACGTTCTGACAACATGCTGGGGCGTCCTCCAAGCAAACGGTGCACTTGTACCAACCTTTCGAGCTGTCGGCGCCGGAAACTCTTCCCAGCATCTGACTGAGCGCTCCGATGAAGAAGATGAGTCGGAGTTGGCCGATGCACATGGTGACGACGCTCCAGAAGAACGCCATGGTGCAGATGCTCTTGGACAGCGGGGGGATAGCTGCAACAGGATGGGCTGATGTCAGCACCCAAGCCGACAAGGAAAAGTGCCAGAAGGGAGCCAGTGTTAGTGTGAATGGTGAAAATAAAATAAAAAACAAAAGAGTGGATGAGAGAATTAGAAAAACTAAAATAATCAAGGTGAAAATTATTATTAGAAAAAGGATGGAAGTAAATATGATGAAGTGAGTGAAAGATTGGCTCTTTGGAAATAGTTCATGCAAAATGAGTTTATGAATTAATGAAGATGATAGTAATACAAGGTGTCATTGTGTTATTGCCCCAGAGAGAAAGCATTGTAAGAATCATATTATGTTCACATTCGGAATGTCTGATTGGGAAACAAATTATATGCTAACAACATGCATTATGGAAGCTCATTTATCTATCAGTAGTATCTGTAATTATTGCAAAATTATAACTATGACTATGTCTGGACTTGAGATGAATGAACTAAAAAAAGGCATTGTTTCAAATGTTTTTTTTATGCATAACTGAATCAATCAATCAATCAATCAATCAATCAATCAAAAATGATTTATTGCTAAAAATCACGAACATTGCAGCAGAGAGCTGAATTGCGTTCAAAGAATGATGTACAATCATTTTAAAAACCTTAGCGACTACATGTGTACACAATCTCGGAATCAAATTGTGGTAGTAGAATTGCACGTTGAAAAATATTTACACAATATTAGGTACATTTAGCTTAGTGAAATTCAAATTTTGCTAATCTCATTCATATAAAATAGCTTGAGTTGATATTCTAAAAATGATATTCAGAAATAAGAGTTCTCCCTCACCATTGTCCACAGAGCTGTAGTCCATCTCCAGGTTGAGGTGAGAGGTCATGGTGGGTCCGCCCTTCTCGTCGATACTCAGTCGTCGGCCCACCGTGGTCACCATGCCGTAGAAGTGCTTCCCAGTCAGTTTGTGGTGGACACCAAAAGGTCTTAACACAAAGAAAAAAAACAATCGCATATAAGAAATAAGCCTAACTGAACCTCGCTTTTCGCCAGCTCCCAAGTTAGTCCGCAGACTATCTAGGGAGCCGGACAAGAGCTTGGGTTTCACTGGCTAGTAAGAAATATGAAAGAAAATGAGACACATATGTTGCAAAGTTAAGTTATTTTTTGTGCTGATCATGAAGATGAAATCATAGTCTTGAAATCTTGAAATGAAGATGAAATCATACAGTCTTGAAATCTTGAAATGTTTGCAGTTTAATTTTTGCAGTTACCCTTCCACTGTGCATTCACGACACTCCAAATATGTGTCTCTAATGTATTACCATTGTGCATGTATGACCGAAATGTTCCAATCCCAAATAAAAAACATGTAGCAAAAACCTCTGTACATCTTCCTTCTATTGTCAATAAAATAACTGAATTAGCAGTGCCATGCGAGTATGCAATTCCTTCTTGTGAATTCTTACATTGATCAATACATTATTTGATCAGTGGCAACACTGTGATTTCCAATAAAGAGATCTTGTACATTATATTCCAACTCACCTGAATTTGATTCTGAAGTCCATCTCCTCAGGACCAGGGATGGGTTCCTTAGGCACGTTGAAGTAGCAGTTCAGGATGACGAAGATCATCAGTCCGGCATAGCAGAAGAACAAGGTGTCGAAGGGAATACCGAGATCGTACAGACCCTGAAAGGCAAAAAAAAAGAACTTTAAGTTAGATTTAAGTTATTAGTATTTCTTGCTGATTCTAGTATGCATTTTCCCAGTGGTTCCCATAAGACAACAGGCATGCATATAAAAAGCAGAAAACGAAAATGAAATGAGATATGAGAATAAGGAAATGAGATAAATTTTTCTGGGACCTTTGACCTAACTTCCTGTCAGCGACTCCTTGGAGACACTTAAAGAAAGTTAGATCGAAGGTCCCAGCCACCCATCATATAGAAATAACTAAGAAAACACAAATAAACAAACAAACAAACAAACACACAGACACACTAAAAACAAAACCTCCATATACACTGAGGTAAGTTACAAAAAAACTGACCTTCATAGCTGGGAAGACTACAGCCGAGGAAGCGTACGCTCCCACAAAGAAGCTCATCATTGTCCCTCGCTTGTCCCCAAACAGGTTGGTGACCTGGAAGCCGGTGAAGACGTGGACGATTCCGCTCATACCGTTCAACGATACCGCGGGGAAGAGGAGAATAGACAACTTGGCTGAGAAGAAAAATATGAAAAGTGTAAGTATCAAGTGACATTCACAGAGATGCACAAACAAAACTTGCTATGACAAGCCCTAAATTTTAAACCGATTTTAACGTTAAATGGTTAACCGCAGTAACTGTGTAGGTGGACCTTCCTGTCCATCTGTGGTTATAAAATCTCTTATAAAAAAATACTTATGGACAAACAAGCAAACACACACACCAAAAATAATGCCTTCCCCTCCTTTCCTGCTACTTAACAGCATTCAAATACTAATTACAGACACACAAGAAAACACACAAAAACACACCGAAAACAATACCTCCATACACGGAGGTAATACTAAGTAATTAATAACACTTACTTCTTGATGCAACTGCAAATAGTACACTGGATAATCCGAACATGGCACTGCCAGCCATCCTGAGGTTCCTGGACCCGAACTTGTCCATGAACATCCCAAGAGGAAAAGTCATTCCGCTGAGTAAGAAAGATCCGATGGTATAGGCCAAGTTCAGTCTCTCGTCCTGAGCGATACAGCCTTCCTCCTCCATGGGCAGAATGACAGTCATGTTGTCTGTGATGTTGGCATCGGTGATGTTGAGGTAGTCAGTATCTACAGAGAGACCATAGAATAGAGGTCAATGTTACTAGCAGTGCCCCCTACCAACTTTACGAAGAACTACACTACTGAAGAGTCCAAAAGTTGTTTTTCCACAGATTATAATTTGTGTCGAATTCCTTTCTTGTTCCCAAAGCAAGCTGGGATTCACAAAAGCCAAAAATCTGAAAGTCTTCTCCTCTAAACACTTTCTGCAATGCACAGATGGTTGTATGACGTATAGCAGTGCTCAAATTGGTTGCCAAGAATGGCAGAGACAAGAAGGAAAATTGTGTCTGGAAATTCTGATCCCGTCTCATCCTTCTTTTTCAACATAGAGAATCCTTATTATCATTGGCCAGACAGGGAAAACGAGATTCGTTCTTTTTCTTTTATTCGAAAGCAATACAAAACTGCCCCTTTCTAAGTTTCGATCTACTTTGTTCCTTTTTGTGACTTACAAAGAAATTTCTCTTTGTACGGATTTAGTAGCTCTTCAACACGATAGTTTAGTCTGAAGGAAGACCCTGAAGTAAAAAGGTCGTAACCTTTGATTTTGGCATGACTGCAAACGCTGGTTACTTTCAACACCACGATAAACTTTGCAACACATGTCTGAGCTTCTCTGTCATCTTCGTGATACCAGGATTTTATACAGGATTACGAATGCTCTTGAATTCTCCAAGTGTTCAGACACAGTCTAAATGTCAGGGTCCCCATTAGCCAGTCATTACAGGGTCCCAATCAATCATTAGCCAATCAATAGAGAGGTTAGATAAGGCGATAGCATCTGTTTGTGTCATGTCTCTCTTTCACTATGTCCGTTACAGTCCTAATGAGCACCACTGCCTTTTTGTTTCTTTGAGCCAAGTAATCTCACTGAATTGATTCCCTACCAACAATTTACTTCAGTTACGTCACCACATGCGTGTGTGGCATGTTAGGCCCTAAAGGGATTGTTATCCTGCCTTAGAAAATTAGGCTTTACACCCATTATGAGACAATCCATTCTCTTCTTTTGCGGTCTCTTTACTCAAGAAGGTCAAATTATTTTAAATCTTCAAGTCTTCTGCTCTAAACAATTTCTGCAATGCACAGATGGTTGTATGACGTACAACAACTTGCTCAAATTGGTTGCCAGGAATGGCAGAGACAAGAAGGAAAATTTTGTCTGGAAATTCTGATCATTTTAAACCTCCTTGCTTTATTCTAGCATTGACTCCTCCAAAGAGCAGCAGACATGAAATTTACCGTAAATGACAGCCTGTACTCCCCGGTAGGATTAATATTTGAATAACACAAAGCTACCAGATGGGACAATAAAGCGTATAGGAGTCGTCAATGTGTGGTTTCAAGGATTTCTTTCGAACAAAAGACGTCTGAGGGCTGGAGGGTGGTTTAACAAATAAAGCAGCGGTAGGGGAGCGAATCAGAAGGGCTACAGCTGAACTAGGCAAGACACACTGTTTACAGGGTCTACACAGGCCAGCTCCTTGGCTCTAGGGCCAACATGCACTCCCAAGAAAATGTTACGGTAACCACAGCTCCCTTGAGTTAAAACTAGAGGGTCTATATAAATTCAGGGAAGCTGTGGTAAAATTTTGTTGGCCAGGGGGACATGTACGTTGGCACTAGAGCCAAGAATCTGGGCTGTGTGGGCCCTGGAAAAAGTCTGGCACTCAGACTAAACCAAGAAGGTCAACTGCCAACAAGTAACATACGTCAATGCAGATTTATGTCTTGGAGCATGTCTAGCTGTTTCTCAGGGTCAAGTTGAGAAGAAAACATGCCACTCGCTCAAGAAATTTTAGAGAAAAAACATTTGTCATAAAAAAGGATTAATTTTTTTAGTTTAAGAGCTTGGCTAATTATTTTTGCTAATTGCTCTATAATTGAATTTGTCTCTGTCAACATTCTTTTCTAATTTAAAAAGGAAAGTTTTAAAAATCCAACAGGATACATATTACTAGGAATGACAATAGAAGAATCTGTGACTAAATGGACAGTATATGGTTCAGTCCGACTGTCAAATAGAAACAGATATGGAGAAAGTGGAAATCATTATGGATAATTGTTCATTCATAATTCGTAACTGGAACTTAATGGTCTCTGTGAACAGGTCACCGAAGAAAGACACAGAAAACATTTTAGCCTGAATCAATGAATTTTCTACTTCAGCAACTTTGGTTGACCAGGTATTCAGGTGATTATTTTACCTCGAATTCTGCTGAAAGCCTTTTCGTCAGGCCTGGCAAAACATGCATATCAGTTTCTAGGAAAACCACTTGTCCAGCATCTAATTCTAACTCCTTGGGAAGTTAAAACCCATGAAAATAATACTACAGGTACCAATGTTTGAATTCAACTGCCACTCACTGTGACCTACTTTTAAAATGCGTACTGGTCACTCATTTGAGAGTAAAACTAAGGGGCTCAATACCAGATCTGCATAAATAAATATCAAATTGTTTACGAGGAAGGGGATTGGTCCGGCGCTGTCACACCACGGACTATAAAGGGAAATCCAGTCCACTATGTACTCCAATATAATTGATGTCAAGTGAATTGTTGATGGCTGGCTTAATGAATTTTAGATAAAATTCATGATAACACTGTGCTGTTTTGTTATGATTTTGACTAACCTTGGAGGTTATGTTCTCTTAGGTTAAAATACAACAAGCCTTGAAAAGATGCTTAATTCCACTCTAGTCTAACATCTCCAAAAACTTTCTATGGATTCCTAGCCTTTCAAGTGCCTGACAGACAAGATTTACAGTCTGAAGCACAACATGTGCTGGTCAGTGACAGCAGTAACAGGCACAAGATAAACAAGATTGAATTATCTGTCCTACATGCAGGCCTGTCAGAGAAGAAAAATGACTTAGGGCAGACCCACTACTGGCTGGGGCAAACCTAATTACACTGGCAAGACTGTCATCCTTCAACCAAGTCATACACACAAGTCCTACTGCTGAAAAACTTCTGCATTTGTTTCAGTTCACAGTCTTAAAATTTAGTAAACTTTGCCAAGTTTGCTGGACATCAAGAAACTCAATCCAAGTTTAACTTTCTCCTTGCTGCTGAACCCATAACCGATACAAATTTGGGTGTCCAATGGATACCTTAGCAGGCTGAGGGTTAGTTTAAAGAACTAAAGGCAAGACAGGACTGTTTTTAAACAAACACACCCTGGTATTTAAATCAAAACTACAACTTTGAAAACTTTCAACAGGGGGAATGGTTTGCTCCTTTCCAAATCTTTATAAAACATTATTATACGTCTTGCAGAAAACATGAAAGAGTACAGTATTTCAACTTAATCGGTTAGTGACTGGGATACAAAGGAATTGCTAAAATGAAAGAGTACAAAATTTCGACTTTTATATAGATTAGTGACTGGGACAAACAGGAATTGCTTAAAGTCTGTTTTTCAGACATTAAAGGGTCTGTTACCTCAGAAAGTAAATAAGGAGTCAGTTTGTAATCTTAGCGCTGAAAGCTGAGTGACACATGAGGGGCCCCACGGATTGAAGCACTCCATGGGCTCTTAATTCTGACAGGTGTGGTTACCCCTTAAGGTTCCTGTCAGCCCATTGGTGGACCCAGGGGGAGGGTTGTGGGCAGTGTAAACAACAACACCGTCCTGGATTGACCGCTTATCTGGTTATTGGCAATACAGGGGAGCTGAAAGGTTGATTTTATCGTAGGTAAACAGAGATGTAGAGTTTGTCTCTAGACTGAGTCACCTGGTTGTCTAGGCAAGGAAAACAATTTTAAGGCCATGGGGAAAAATGAAACAAGCCTGGGTGCCAGATGCTGGCGTTCATAAGCGATAGATTTTTTTTTTTTTGTGGGAAGAAGTCCCAATGTCCGCTAGAGTATCCGCTGCTCAAGCCCTGGCTGCCCAAAACCCTTTAGCTGTCACGCCAGCGGACGCCAAGACGGCAAAAGATAATTAGAGCCAGTGCGCCAAATCGGGGTCGGCGGGGCATATGGCTTCCCTCGCCGACCGGGTTTTCTCTCATTCACGGTAGGGGCTGGCACCCAGGCTAAAACGAAACTTACAAGAGACTGGTATTGGATGTCCAGTATGGCAACTTTAAAGAAAACACCCATCTACTTACCAGCTGGATTAAAATTTAACTCTTGATAAAAAATTTGTGACTTTCTATTTGACTACTATTAAGGCAGCGATTCAGATTTTTTCATCAGTTTCACACATTTTTTTTCCATTCATTGGTATATTGTGCCACCACCTGTTTTTGCCATTAGAGATAAGATTTGTAATCAACACCACACTGTAGAGATGTTGTGACTCTTACTTTGGACTCAGGTTTGAAGTTTTGCAAGTCTACTTGGCAAATTATGTAAGTAACCAGAGATTTGGGAATTACGAAAAGGTACTCAGCGGATCATTTTTTTGCTTTTCGGAGGTTTTCCCACAAAGAAACTGCTATCAGATGGCTTTCAAGATCAGAGCTCCTTGTCTATATTAATAAACAGTAACTTAGGCAAGAATTGCAACATCCCATGTCACTAAGCATGAGTGAACAGTCCCTTTATTTCTATCATCTCACTTTCTCAGGGATTCTGTTCAGCAAAACATCTAATCTCAAAAGAGAAGGGCTAGCAAAGGGTTTTCCATGTGAGACAAAGATAGCACAATTCCCATTTCAAATCCCAAAAATCATTTGCGCAAACACCCCTAAAACATCCATAACCTTAGAGATTCCAAAAATGTTGTATTTTGAATTTCCCGTAAATATCCTACTCCTTTTAAACCCCTACACAGCCTCCTAATCTATTTAGACCCAAATCTGCCTAGCAACAGCTTTGTGGCCAGTGGAGAATAACAGCCTCACTCTGAGGCTCATTATGCATAATGAATGCCCTGGTCGGCTGCCATTTGGTGAAGAAGATTGAGAGTTGTTTTTCACAGGCTGAGCCTCCCTGTAATTGACAAGCTGGAATTATTCCCTGGGGCGTAAAATCAGGTGTGCATGAAAAATTGCAGTATCAGCAACATCCCTTCTCGAAAACAGCAAGATGGGATAGAATGACATGGTTGGATGTAAAGGAAATTTGAAGGTAACCCCAGAAAAATTTCTTTCAATGAGGTTTGTGAGGGCAACAGTTCAGCAGGCTTCAGAACCAGTTGGATCAAATATTAGATGACATGCAAGGAGATGTTGGTCTGCTAAACTTAAAGTACACTTTGCTGCTCCCAAACTGGAGTACTCCTTTAGCAGACCAACTCCCCTGGCATGTTATCTGTCTACTTGGCAAATTTTAACTCTTTCCGGCCACTTTTGCAGAATTTAAGAGGTTAGAATTTTGGAGCAGAGTGTTCTAACTCCATTTTGGTTATATCATAATATGCCACCTTGATGTTACCGGATTAAACTGGGGATACACTTGTTTTTTCCACTGTCTACACATCTAGGCTGAAAAACAGCAATCCAAAATTTGGCACCACCAGTAAAAATCTACTGCGAGAAAAACAAGGTTGACCTCAAGGCCAACGGACGACAAGACAACTGGCAACTTTACAAGTTTAAAATAATACAAGGTTTGCCATTGGTCTCTTCTGGTAAATCAAAATGCTGTGCTGTATGATCTGTAGCCAATGTTTGTATTGGTAACAAGCGCTAAGCCTAAGTAGAAACAGTATCAAGATTTTCCCCTTGGTTTGGCAGCAAACCACAAAAAAATTACACAAATAAGGCCTGAGATGCAGATTTTTGGTCCAAGAGAGGTGCCAGTTCTCAAAATAGTTAGAAATGCAATGGGACATATAGCTAATATGATTATGAAAATGACAAAAGACATTAAAAACGAGATCTACAAGAAAGTATATGACTGTCTACCTATGAAACTCTTCTCCCTACTGCCTAACCCCAAAACAAATAAAGGTTATACCAAATGGCTACCTTTAATATATATAGCCATCTGACTACCTCCTACCACAGTCCCTTCAAAAGTACATGCTTTACTTAACCTACTTGAACCTAAGAAACCACATAAAATGTTAAGAAGCTTAGGCGACTCTTTCTTCTCAATGCCCCAGAGACCTGAATCATAGCAACTAATGACTAGGGTTATATGCACAGGTGGGCATTTATTGAAAGAAACCAGTTTCACCATTATCTCTGTGGCCTTTTACATGTAAAGGTCTTTTGTCGCCTGGCCCTACGACAAAAGAGACCACAGAACAAACAGTAATCCAAATTTGTGACCACAAAAAAATATCAACTACACCAGCCTTGGAATACCAGGTCCTCACTTCATTTACTTACTGCTGAGGACAGCAGGTTTTGCTTATGAATATTCAACAACTTCCTTATTTGGCGAAGATCCGAGCTGCGCGATGTGTGGGCATACAAGGAGGTTATTGTCTTAACCGCAAGTAAGGTGTGTTCTTTGTCGAAACAACACCGTTGGCCAATCAGGTTACAGCGTGTCTGGGAAAGAATGTTACCCGAGAAGTTTGTTCAGCGAGTCATCGAGTCATTGGGGTTCCCTGTCTGAACATGCCCCCGCTTTTTTTAAGTGACACGCAGTCCTTTTCTAGCTTTTTAAAGATCTCTTCCATATAGTAAAATGAATCAGCTTTTGTGTCAAAGTTACATTTAGCTTTCTGATAACTTGTGTAACAGTACATGCTACACAAGAACAACAAAAATACAATGTTAACTTCCTAAGTAACAGGTAATTTTAGTCCAATGGCCTCCAGACCACAAAACTTGACCAAAGAAACTAATGTCTAATACGGCACTCAAAACTTGTACATGTCACTACGAAAACACTGTAACGGGGGACATGATTTTTGGACAAAGCGTTTTTAAAAACAGAAAACCAGATGCGGCTAAATGGAACATGTATATCTCCATGGTACAAGTGAAAATTTTGTAAGGAGTGTCTTCAAATGGAGACTTGACTACTACGACCAAGTCGACAAGACGTTGTTTCTTACCTTGTCCAGAGCCGGAGCAGAGCTCTAGGTAAATTCCTTCCTTCTTGAGCATGAGGACAAGAGACCCCCAGCCAAGCAGGACTGCGGAGAAGAGAAGGTTCTCCAGAATGGCGGTGATGATGAGCCAGTAGCGTCTCCGCTGGGCCGTGAACAAACATGGTGCCATCTTGCTCGTTTTATTCCTATCAACTCCTGCAAGAAAGAAAAAATTTTAATTAGTTAAAAGTCTCTTCTATTGTCGGTTACAGAGAAAGCTTATTTGAGAAAAAAAGCTCCAGAAAAATAAGACAGAATCAGTGTATTTATGGCATACAAAACCTCTTTCCTTTCTTTTAGTTTACCTGTATCTCTTGTGCACTACAGACCAGGTGAAACTTTCTTATTTCTCTGCGAGGTCTTTTGTTTCAAAACCCACCTGCCTCAACCACTGCCTTAGGCAACCAATCAACACACAGTTTACATTGTCGTGTTGTTACACGCCCAATTTGGTGTATTGCTCTAATGCTGTTCAACTTCTTATGACACCTACCTAAAAATTTCAGTGATATCATCTTCAAATACAGCAGATATTCCAGTCTTTCTGCAGTCTTCAATCCATAAAATGTAGATTAGGCCAAGCACCAATACATACATATTGTAGGGTTTCCAATACATATGCAAATTTACCTGACACTTAAAATGAGGGTTAATTCCCTAAATTTGCATTTTTCCAACAGTTATGTCTGTTGTAAGAAGTAAAGGTACCGGTACCTAATTCGTTTTTTAATTCCTAGTGTGTTCTAAGTCATACATTGCCTGGAAAAGGATGTATTTCCTCATGAATTCTAAATTCAACACTAGAAAAAATTCAACAATAGTAACTTCTTGGCCATGTCTCTAAAATCACATTTTACATTTGAAATCCCCCCCCCCCCCAAATGTTCTGCCTTCTGAAACTACCATATTCTTTTGTATACACTTGCCCATAAAATGCACCATGTAGATTGTGTCCTTTTGAGTGAAAACAGCTGTTATTTTGTTGCTGACCAGCACAAGCTACCTGTCTCGGGTGATTGATTTGTTTTTGTGACTCCTTTTGTACTCCCAAAATAAAACTAGCTGGGTCAGCAAAAACCAAAACAGCAAGCGTCTTTGGTCAGTTTCTTTTTGTGTAGTAGACTTCATGATTTGTCCCTCCTCAAAATGGAAAATTAAGTCTTTTATATTCATTTTGTTTTGCATTAAATGACCGAAGGACACAAATTTCACATCACTCTGTGACTCAATTTTCCAAAGGTTTCTACCTAAAGAAAGAGGCATTTTCAAAAGTTAATTCTAGTTTCTAAAATCATTACACTGGCATTTCATCTCAACGTTTTCAGGAAAAAAAAAAACACATCTCAAAAATTCTGCCCATTTTTTGCAATGGATTGGGAAGTTCTCAAGTAGAAGAGGTGCAGTGGCCAATGCAATTCAAGGCGGCATACATATACAAGTTCCACCCAACCACATTTTTATTGACTGGAAGCCCGGAAAAGCCGCTTGCACGCAAGCTCCTTTCTTTTGTGGGGACCCAGAGCCTAGATATGGAGGCTCAAGTCTGGATAAAAAGGGGGAAGTGCGTTGTGGGACTGCCACGGGCGTTGTTGGGGGAAGCCGTCAGCCTTATCGTCCTGGCCAGCTGACTGCCAGCTGGTCATTAATAATCCATGAGGATGACGTAGGTTGTTTTTCAGTTTTTGGGGGAGCTGGAGGTCTCTCCGGCGCCACAAGTGGTCGGACTGAACCAACTCTGACCTAGATTTGCTTGTCTGATCCAGAGGTTTCTATTACATTTATGCAGTCGTCTAACGTTGCAGTTTAATTCTATCCTTCATATGAACAAAAAAGTCCGCGGACAAAAATACAAAAACCTAGCAAAGATCCTTCACGATTTGCTTCATTATTCAAAATCCTTCTTCCCAGGACATTATACAGATATAATGTCCTGTATAATGAGGGTCTGCATGGGGGGGTCCTGGCAACGGTTAACGGTAAATTCAGCAGGGCCGATAACGCTTAACGGTAAATTCAGGACGGCCGGCAACGCTTAACGGTAAATTGACAGGCTTTTTTTTTCGAGCTGCACTGGATTTGGTATCTCGCTTTGTGAGAAAAGGTGATCACTGACAAAATTACGTATACCTAACATGTAATGAAGCATGCATTAAAGGTATGTGTTGCCCACCTGCCCTGGCCCCCTAGTGCGTCCACAAATACCGGGGTGTCCGAGTCGACTTCGGCCAGCTTGCATTTTTTCAGTCTGCCCAGTTTTACCGATGGATTTTGAGATCGTAATCTAGGGGGGTCCGGGGGAATGCTCCCCCAGGAAATTTAGGATTTTTAAGCCTTCAAAAACGCAATTTCCCGCATTTTGAGAGGTAAATAATGGTGTTGAGAGTGTTTGTCGGTCCTTCTGATGTTTTCATATTTTACTCAAGATTTTTGTTAATTTGCCTGTCAAGTTTGCATGACGGATTCGTTAAAAAATTCTGTAACTCTCCGCAAACCTCCGGAAATTGAAGGGTAAACTGGTTCTGGCTAGAGCGGAAGGGACCAAACGCAGAAGCGCGAGCAATGTAGAGGGGTCCGGGGCATTCTCCCCAGGGAAATTTTGTATTTTTAAACCTTCAATGACGCATTTTCCTGAACTTTGATCGATAGGCAAAATTAGGCGTAACGAAGAATTATTCATTAACGCTTAACGCTGAATTCAGGATGACAAATAACGTTTTACGTTGAATTAAAACGACCAATAACGCTTCACGAGGAATATACTGCTAACGCTTAACGTTGAATTAGAGCGGGCCGGCAACGATTAACGGTAAATTAAAATAGCCCATAACGGTTAACGAAAAAGGGCATGCAGACCCTCTATAATGTCCTTGGTTCTTCAAAGCATCCCCCCAGCATGTGGATTAAAAGTTCAATATCGGAAGGATTTCCATCTTATTCCAACGCCAGCCAATCCATATATAATTTTAAGCGGCTCCTGGTTGGATTATAGCGGTGCGACCTTGTGCCAGCGCCGCATACTCCCGGTAACCATACCATCGGGGGCTCCTTTACATCTGTACGGTGCTGAGAGTGTTCCCCACCCGCCCAGTTTATCAGCGAACGCCGGGGAATTTTATAGTGTTGGCTTTGCTCCCGAAGACGACAATAATCAGAAAACCCGGCAGTCTGCCAGAAAGAAAGTAGCCCGTAAACACCCCTTTAGCTGAACAAGGAAGAATGGTTACCAGGCTAGACGCTGGCTCCCATTGACGTCGCTAAAACCTCGATACACACTGCTCAATACCTTACCTGAATATAACAAGGTTTACGGTTTCACGGTTCAATGGGTTTTGGCCGGCTCTTGCATCATATCGCCGGGAGGCCGGTCTAGATCCACTGCGGTTTTGTTACCGGTATCAGTTTACGCGCCCAATACGATTCACAAATCCACGACGAACAGCGCTTAAAAATCGGCCAAAATGTTCAAAACAAAACTATCGACTGGGTGCTAAGTGGGACTGAGATGTAAAATACGCTGTCCAGGCTGTCCCAGTTACTTTGCTTTTCTTGTAACCGGAGAAGACGGTAGGGAAATACGCCTGTCACGTTGTACCCACGTACGGTCCAATCCATAATTTCACTGTGATGTCGAAATCACCTCACATGCACATGATGAGTCAGACCCCCTCAATTCATTTCACCTCCACCGCACACGTGCTCTACACCATTCCCACTTTTCCAAAGTACTGCCAATTTTACGTGATCGTTCGACAGATTTTTTAAAACGTACGTTCTCTATAAAAATTGAAGGTTTTTGTGGTGATGCAACAACGTTACCCAGATAGCGATCTACATGGCACAAACAACTTGAAATTTTGCCATCATTATATCCAGGCACCCAGCCAAAGGTTATGAACAGATGTCAGTGTTTGGCGCAAATAGTTGGACCCCTTTATCTAAAGCAAAGCTTGATAAGAGAGAGGGCCCTACCCTGTGCCCTTTACTGTACACAACGCAATTATACAAAGGAAGGGCACAGATACACCCTATGACACCTTTACCTCTCTACACAATAGACAAGCACTGCCAGCGACCGCTTAATACCTCCAACTCCCCCTGTTAGAAACACTGTCTGGACACCCAAAAAGCTCGATGTTTTAAAACATTGTTTCCAGCGATCTATAGATAATAGGCTACCAGCGGAGATAACTGGTATAAATGTCAGGTTCTTGAAAAATAGCCGAGCCCAAATCGCCCGCCATTTTTCATACTGACGACTACTGTCATTCACTTGCCGGGCTAGTTGGCTGACAGCGCCGCTGGCACCGGTATCGTTGTAACATAGAAGTAAGGTTAGGATCTGATAGTTTTTAGAAGTGAAACGCAAAGATATCTACTGGATCTTGCTGTTGAAATGTCTTTTCTGATTCTCAATCTCTCTACTATAGACCAGCGGTGTGCGAGCTTCCATCCTATGTTCACGTTGGCAGTGCAGTGTTCGCACACACACGATTTCACCGTTTCGCTACAACTCGCTAAAATACCTCTAAAAGGGGGCAAAAAAATCAAGGACTTGCTTACCTTATATTAGAAACAGCAACAAAATTTTCCTTCAGTATGAGGCCGCCTTCCTTCCCTGTCGAAGACACAGTTCGACTTCCTTCGCCCGGCACTCAGTACTCACTCTCAGACTTGCAGTAGGCAAGTGGGCTCCTCGAATGTACGGTACGGGACATACGCTACCGCCCGGCGCTGATGTAATCCTCCTCATTTATATTCACAGCTGACAAGGAGATGCGTGCGGTCTGATTGGTTCATTTTGTGGGCGTCGTCCCGATTGGCCAATAGGAGGGCTTAAATTTCCCCTGCGTGAAACGCTAGCCAATGTGTGTCCCGTGATGGGACAGGCCTTTATGACGCCCCCGCGAGGTCTGAGCTAAGCGACGGGGCCTGGCCCGTGGATTGCGCAAGCCGTCCTTCTGAAAGAGGAGTGTGAAAAACAAGTTATACATGACGAGGTTCTATAGAAAAATCGCCTGTTGCTTCCTGTTGATGTTGTTTTTTGTTGTCGACTGGAAGAAAGAAACGGGAAGTATTTACTGGAAACAAATAGCTATATGGCGTCGTTGTCCGGGCTGACTGTTGTTCTATTTCTAAACCTTCCTGCAGTGTTCTAACCAAAGCGATGGACGAAGCTGTTTTTCGTGACCAAGAAAAGGTGACTGAAATCTATCCATTAAAATTTTCTACACTAAATTTCTGTCAGAAATTATTTCACTTCACGTTTTTTACGTGTTCCTGACCGAAAAAAATACATATCCAATTGACCTATGCTTGTATGTGAAGGAAATCAGCCGGGCGTCGGCCGGGCACTTGCGAAATCCACCGGTTGGGCAAAGCTCGCGTGGCCAGCCAAAACTGGCGGAGACCATACAATTTATACGGACATCGACATGTATATGGAGATAAAAGTCACCCTGCCCTGTCTGTATAACGTACATGTATATGTCTAGTGGTTATATTTTATATGGACTGCCTGTAGACTCTGCGTCATTTCAACCTAAAAAGGCTAAACGGTGAATTTCTTACCCACATGACAGTCATTTCAAACACTGAATAGGCTACTCTTCATAACCATAGGCAGTTACCTAAACTCTTAAAAAAAACCAAGGACGTTCTGTGATGAAAGCTCCTTGAAAAAACTGACCTAGAAACAGTAAATTGTGCATAGCGTTGCAGCGGTCTCTTATGGGGAGGAATAAGTATGTACGTCATATCCCTAGCAAGACCACTGAACACAATAAACCTTCACTATTCCAAATCACCTGATAACATGAGAGCTGAACATGAGGGTATCCTTGAGGGTGTTACGGTTTTGGCGAATGAGTCAAATATTCAATCTAGCATTTGATGACGCACTGAGTTGTTACGAAGTCAGTTGTGCGTTTCGCAAGTGGTATACAGTGTAAAAGTACAAGTAGCTGTTACTGTTCTATCCCGTTCAATCCTTGAACAGGACGCGCAAGGGAGAGTTGTCAGTAAGCTTCTAACACTTCTTTCAAATCTTTGTACCGCAGTATAATGTTGAAATGCTGGTATGAAGGCCTTGGCTACACGAGGTCGCGATGGTGTTAGCCTGGGTACCATCCTCCGCTGTTACCACGGACTATCCCTTTCGCTTGCTACCACAGAAGGAAGATCCAGCGGTAACAACGGAGGATGGCACCCAGGCTAACATGGCGTGACTTACAATAACGTGTTTATCACATCACAGCTACTCCTGCCGCTCAGAAAACATGTTTACAAATCATCACATCGACCGAGGAAAATATTTTCACCCCTTGACACCGTCGCTAGATTCGAAAATTTGAAATATTTTCACACAAAAATATTCTTGCCGGAAGCGAAGAGGCCGTTAATAACGTTATGTCTGATTTTGCAACGTCTGCACATTCTCGTCCAATGATGTGATACTCATTTTGGTGGTGTGATCGAGTCAGACTATACCTGCACTGTCTTCCGTTCCACTGCCCGAGGAAAAAGTCTGCTAGATTTATGTTCTTCTAAACATCAGTAACAGCCATGAAACGTCTACTTGGCTTCTGCCAATCATTCCAATGTCCCGAAACGCTACTGTTCAACTTTCCGTAGGAAGTAGGGTGTTGGAAATGGTACATGAATCTCTACAAAGCGTTTTTCGCGTTTTGTGAGAAAAATATGACTCAGTTTGAACTACTTTCCGTAGGAACTGAGGTGTTGGCAATAGTAAATGCAGAGCAACAAAGCGTTTTTCCCGTATTGCGAGAAAATATATGACTCATCATACTGTTCAGTGCTGTTACACATACAACCGCAATGACGTCGTTTTGTATACGTAGCGCACCCTTGAAGGGCCTATGTATTGTACATCATGGAATGGGCTTATTTCGCCGCCGTAAGAACTAGGACGAGCCTGACGAAGTGGAGGATTTGTACAAGAAAATAAGATACGCGCACATATACCTAGGCACATACAAATGTATGACAAATACAAACATCCTAACATAGAACCTAATAGTTTATTGCACGACCCCGCCATGGTAACTTGTCGCTCACTGGACTTGCAGTGTGGTAGTTGACATATGGTACACAGTGGGCATAACACTGCTGCAAGATTAACTACCTTGTACATAGGAGGGCTTGTCTACATGACCTAACTTGTCTACATAGGTAAACACCACCGACCGGTGTCAACCTTCAAGCAGATGTTAGAGAAAAATGGAAACATAGATAGTGACTGTTTCTATACTGCTTGAAGCCTAAAATAGGCCTTCCTATTGGGGTATGGATAGTAGAATTCTGCAAAAATATGGTTGATAACATTGGCATATGTGGACAAGAGAGTGTAGCCTCTACCAGGCTTCAGAGGCGGCTGGAAAGAGTATAAATTGGCCCGGGAGCGACAAACTGTACTCCTTTTAATAGCGGATCCTGGCATGTTATCTGTCTATTGAACCAATTTCTACTCTTTCTAGCCATTTCTGAATCCTGCGCCTAAGGGGAGGATAGTGATGTAACCGAGGTGGAATTCACCAGGTTCTTTGAGGATGCTGCACGGGAGACTAACTACAGGGCTGGCAAGAACACACGCAGGACACAGGCATTGCCGTTACGCACGCACGGGAGACGATGGGCTGGGACAGTCTCTCTCTGTAACCATGCTGTAACCTTCTCTCGAGCTGTCCCTGTCTCAGACTGTCTTCCCAACCCACAGAACTCCCAGCTTTTATTGTCAAACAACAGACTGGACACAGATTGAACAACAGACAGTCGTCTGGCAAGGGTAACAATACAACATTTAACACCTATATGACATGTCCTTGATGTTCCTATCATCAAAGCCTCGAATTAGCATAACCAGATTATCACACTGGCCACAAAAACTTCAAAGCCGATGGCCTCTTACAATATACATAAAAAGTGTCATTTTCAACCCCTTACAGTGACATAACTGCGTGTGCAAATGTAAACTATCTTGGAAAATTATTTTTCTTCTACTGTAGCCAGTCCAGTTTAATAGCCTAGTAGAGGCTAGCTCCTACGACTCCCACCCGACCACCCCACACAGGCTATCCTGAACTTCAGCCCCCAGTCTGCGGGGTGGAAGAGACCGCGGGGGGCCCCCCGCACCCGCTGGTCGGACGTCCTGGCCAAGGACCTGGCCCTGGTCAACATCACCCACGAAGAAGCGCAGGGGCTCGCCCAGGACAGATCGAGATGGAAGGAGGTGGTCCACCTAGTAGGCTCGACGCACATCGTGCAAGAGGACTGAGTGAGTGAGTGAGAGTGAGTGAGAGGCTAGCTCCTGATTTTGTGACAGAAGGATGGCAAGCTGACAGAAAACGCGTGCGCAGTCAGGGAGGCATCATCGCCACCGTTTGTCACCCCCAGATCTGATTCCAGATACGCGCCACCGTCCATACATAAACACAAATTGACCAGGGAAATGTCTATTAGGATTTGATTTACGCCCAAGCTTACCGCAACGACGACTGACTACATGATGATCGCAAACAGGTTGGTAACAGGCATGCGCAGTAGCGCCCGGGCGATCAGCTGAGAGGAGCAGCTGGTGTTGCCCGATTTAAACTCGCTGTTGCCATGGCTCCGCCTAGCAACGACACAGGCTCCTTTTCTGGTAAACAAGTTGTTTTTTGGACGGCCGCAAGTGATCTGTCATGCCTGTCCGTGCCCCCGGCGGTCTGGTATTTGTTTAGAGGTTGTCGGAAGACGGGCCCCCGTACCGCCCTACTCCCGCCCCTGGTGGGGATGATCCAGAAATGCAGGGGCGGTGGAGGGGTGGGTAGAGGGCGATGGTTTTAAAAATCATTCGCCACTAGTACTGTCTCCAAAAAAGAAGTCAAACCCCATAGTCATAGATAGATTTTTGCCTCTTAACATTCAGTATCATATGGTTACCTTGCAATTAGAATTCGGGCATGACATTGCGAATAGATAAATAGATTAATATACAACAGTTACCTGTTACTAGTAATTGTTTTCTTCTTTGTTGCATTTTGCACTTTTTTTCATTTCTTTAATAAACCCCCTTGATTCATACTGAACGGGAATTTGTATTGGGGGTGGGCAGGATTCTTGGTCGGTACTGGTATTTCAGTGAAGGTCATAAACAAGTAGTTATCCAAGAAAATACATAGCATCATGTGTTTTTTGAGTGACGAAGAAATTGCACTACTATTTCCCAGCAATGACTATCCCTTTATTTCGGCCAATTTCTACTATTTTTCCAGCGATCCGCGGTGCCAGGTAGAGGATATGAGCGTCCTGTGCCAAGACTTGTTTAGTGGTGACTGTAAGTTCCCCTTTTCCTTGTGGTAAGAAGAAACTTGCAACAAACAACACCCACCCACACCCCCGTCATACCCCCAGTCTCTTCGTACTACAGCGCGGTCGTCATTATGATAATAGCCATGACTCACACCCGTGAGGTGTTGTTCCGCTGACCATGGCGGAAAAACGCTGACCGCAGTGTAAAACGACACTTGTTTTTCGCTCAGCCTCTCCACGCCTGCGGCACCGGGCGATGAAACGGTTGAGTGCCGTGAAAAAACACCGTATTCATGGGATGTTGGCGAGTGTCGAGAAGGGGACCTGTTCTATGACACCTGGCGTCGGACGTTTGTCAAAGTGTCCCCGCACCAGCAAACAGAACGTCCGTTAGTACGCCTTGGTGGAAAAGTACAAGAAGAAGATATGCACAATCTATTCTAAACGTTATACAAGAGTTGAA